GATACCTGATAGTAGGCTTCATATTTGTGGTTTTTAGGGAAGGAAGAGTATCTTCCTAAGATTATAAAAAAAACAATTTGGTGAGAGTCAGTCTCCTGTGTGGCTACTGTTATGGCCTGTCCAGGCTTGCTGTTACAATGTCTTGTAACACAGTTTATATCAAGAGATTCTTCACTTAAAGCAGTTTCTGTGGAACTGCAAATTACGTGATTTGATGACGTGACAAGGAGAAAAATTTCTTGCTACCTCTTAAGAATCCTCTTAAAACCCTATCACATTTCCCTTCCTGGATGCTCACCAGGCTGTGGTATTTTGAGTTCTGCTGAGCGGTGGTGATGTTAGATTAACTGGGAATCCTAAGTGGAGTCTGGCTCTGTATTCGTGATTTTAAAATACCAAAGTATAAGTGTTGGTTTTAAAATTCTTTCATTGACGGAGTGGTTTTTTAGATGCCCTTTCAGTAGGCTAATGTCTGTTAAGTGAATTTTTTCTACATAGAGTGGAAATAACTTTGGGACGCTCTTTCATTTGCACTCCATTTATATTAGCCATTTTATAGAAAAAGCTATGAAAAAGGTATGACTGTAACTGATGGCTGGATTTATTGAGAAAGCGATCCCATTGTACTGGGTCTGGCTGAGCGGGAATTGGTTTTCCCCTATAGCAGCCCTCACAGTGCTGTGGTTTATGCTGGGAGCTGGCAGGGTGTTGGCAGCACCGTGATGTTGTGGCTGCTGCTGAGCAGTGCTTACACAGCACCAAGGCTCTTTCTGATATTTCCCCCAGTGGGACAGGGTGGGCAAGACCTCAGGAGGGGACACAGCCAGGACAGCTGACCCCCAACTGACCCAAGGGACATTCCAGACCATGTGACATCTGCTCAGTATAAAGCTAGGAGGAAGGGGGGGGTCACCCTTGGTCCTCCGAGGCAACCACTACGTGTATGGGAGCCCTGATCCTGAGAAGGCCCCACATCACCTCTTCAGGGGAAGTAGAGAATAAATCTGGGGTTTTTTGCTTCCATGCATGGACCTTTGCTTGCTTATATTAAAACTACTGTTGTTTTACCCTCAAGGGTTGGTCTATCTTATTTTTTTTCCCCTCTTTGCCCTGTTGAGAAAACAAGAGGAAAGAGGGGGAAGTGATAGAGCGACTTGGTGGGTAGCTGGCATTTAGCCAAGATCAAACCACTGCACCTATACTTTAAAAAAAAATACATTTTTAAAAAAAAAGCAGCTACTTTATAGGTAGCTTTGGACTGCGCGTACGTTATATACTGTTTGGGTTTGCACCCTCAGTTAAGTGCTGGCCTAGAAATATGTGATCTTTCTGATAATTTGGTAAATTAATTAGGCATCAAGTCTTTGACTTGGTATTACACACGTTGCATAAGCTTCACTGAGTATTTTGGTGAATGCAGCAATTAAATAGTATTCCAACACTGTTACAACCTAGCTTTTATATATCTTCATGCTTAGTATCTAAGGACTGCACGTTTCTGTCTTCTCCAAAGCTTTTATCAAATTTTGGTACTTTCATGATGTTTCAAACCTTCCAAGGTAATTTAAAATTCTGGTTACATGACAATTTAAAAAAAATGTTTACACTGTAAATACTCATTATGAGAAATGATGGCCTTGTACTGTGGAAGCAATTAGCTTACTGTAACAGGATAGAAAACTGCATGTCAGTGGAGTAGAGCGGGAAGGACAGGACCTACTATGTAATTGGAATTGTTTTTAAATCTTAAATGAACTTGAGATGATGCACTGTGGGAGAGACTTCTTTGTTGCCAGGGCATTGTTGTGTTGGGAGCAGGTGGATGGAGAACAGATACTTTTCATGGGGGAAGACTAGAAATGTCTACCTAGGAGTAATTAATGTTTTGGTTTTGTTTTCCTAGATTTCATTGGTGTTATTTTTAGTCTGGGAAAGTACTTGGGGCAGAAAAGTAGGTTAATTTATTTGGAAAGATCAAGCATTTGTATTGTCAAAGCTTTTGATATATATTTGAATTCCAGAAGCCGAGAGGAAGAGTGGGCTGTTTAGATCCTCTGCATTGCCCAATGTGATTGTAGTCTCTTAAAAAATAACATCATCTTTACTTTCTCCTGAACAACAGAATATTTGTACAAGCCTGTATTAAAGGGCAGCATCTGTTCACCTCAAAGGTTGGAGCTCAAGTCTTTCCTTTGAAATAGATTAAATGCTTTGAAACTGTGGCTTGTGAGACAGTAACACGTTGTTCTAAAATGAAACAATTTTTTTCTTTCTCTAATGTTTTGTGCAGGTCAAACATTTAAAAAATGTTATGTGCACATAGTTGTTGTTTTGCCAAGCTGTAATTCCTAGAACTTGGTCTTTCCTGTTGCTTTGCTACTTCAGCTATTCTAACTTCTAGGCATCTGCAGAACTGCAGATGTGTTATGCAGTAGGAAGGAGCCATGCACAAAAGGTGTCTGGTAAAGAACTGTTGCCTTCCTATTTCTAGCCATGTGCCTTCAGCTCAGATTTGCATAGGTAGTTATTATGCTTTTATTTCACATTTTACCAGCCAACACACATTCCCATGAAATACCATAATTCTTGATTACCAGAATAAGTTTCCTGTGGTTATCTGTTTTCATATTTTGCTGCAGGTCTGAAAAGCAGTATTAGCAAAGTCCCCAGTGGTTATTATTTTGCAAGAAATATATGGCAATCCCATTTCTCAGTAGAAATAAAAGTTCCTTAGTGGAGAAGGCTCCACTGTACTTAAATGAAAGATGGCAACAACTAAAATCACTATTATAGGAAGAAAATGAAAGAATCTGCCTTGAGCTTCTCTGTAGAGAAATATTCTCCAGCAAATAGTATTTCCATTAAGGAAAGATTCAGTATCCCCTCTTTATCCTAATACTGTTGTTGACTGATAGGCTAAGGAGAGAAGGTGGCTAAACCATAAGGAAGAGGCTACAAACATACAATGTGTTGTTCTTGCTACTGCAGTGCTCCATTCACCAAGAAAAAGTGATTGATATTAATTGGAATCCATGATGTCTGACAAGAGCTCGATAAAGAAACTCTTTAAAAGAATTTCCTTAAACTTGTCTTTGGATTTTTATGTATATATTTGAGTATATTGGATTGAGCCAACCAATTTATTTCACAAGTTCTGAAGTAATGTGTTGCAATGAGAGCATTCTAACTGAGTTTGTGTGAAGTTGGAGCTCCTGTGTAGGAAAGGATACAATTCATAGTGAAAATGCACTTAGAAATCATAAGAGAATCAGTCTGCCTTCAAGTTAAGCAAAGCTGTATTATTCACCAGCAACATTAGCATCACCTCAGGCTTGCTCAGACTGAGTAAATGGCCTGTTCTTTAAATTGACAGCCTTTCATAAGTATCATTGAAGCTTCTGAAAATTCTGTGTGTGTAGAAAAAGCAGAATGTATTAGTTCATCGGTCCCGAATGATATGATTATGTATGTCAGGAAGTCTAATCTGAGAATTCTGTATGACTGTAAACAATGCATGAGACCTTTTAATTATACCAGGTCCTGCATCACAAAGCTCTCATCCGTGTGTGCTTGAGGTGTGAAAAATTGGTCACTAGGCAGCACTGCTGTGCTTCTAAAACATACGACGTAGGCACAGATGGTAATTAATCTGCAGACAGAAAAATCTTCATTCAGTCTGTGGCATAACCTGTGTCTAGTGGTGAAGTACCAGGTGGAGCTTGGACCAGAGCCGATGTTTTACTTCAGACGCTGTGTGGTGTCTTTCCTGAGCTGTAACTTTTAAAGCCTGCTAGAGATCCTTAATTACTTCTCCCAGCATGTGGCAGTTGCATTAAGTGAACTCCCCCTGCAAGGAACTGTATTGACTATATTATCTGATATTGCCTTGCATGAAGTTGTAGACATGGTCTCTTCATTTTTTTCAGGAGACTATACCTTATTGTGACTCCGAATAAGAGATGGGGATTCTGTCCTGGTAATTATTAAACAAGAGTATAGTAGGCTGCTTCTGTTGTCGTACGTTGTTTATATAGCATTGGACCAGTCGACACAAATAAGGCTGAGACAGATGCATTCACAGGGACAAAATTTGCAGTATGGTGGTGATACACAGGAGATACTGTGGCCCTTAACAGCATCATTAACCTAATTTCCTTAGCAGATTTGTGACTGTGGTTCTGCAAATACCTGTAGGCTGATGGTTTTGTTGTTCCTGGTAGCAGATGCTAGAGAAGATAATCACTCTGTTAACTGTCATTAACTTATTTTTGCCTTTTGAGAAGTTCTCTACTGGTTGCTACTGATTTTGCTTCCCCTTTTAAAACAGATTAAATATATTTTCTGCTACTTTCTCTTCCAAGAGAAATATGGAAATTTGTTTCTAGTTTCTTGGATTATGTAATTTGGACTGTACAAGAGAAGAGAGACTAAGACCTTTTTTTTAAAAAAAATAATTAAAGCAACTATTTGTAAGTCAGGTTTGGATTATTATTACGGTAACATCTTTTTCCTATAACTATGGAAGCAACAGCCAGTGTAAAAAGCATAAAACCATTTCCTTGTCTCCAGGATGACCAGTTTTTAGTGACCTTAGGTTTGCGTAATGGAAATAGAATGTTCAGTTTTAGAAGACTGGACAGGATTTTGAAAAGCATTTTAAGTGCATGTTTTCTTACTCCTATAATTCTAAATGTCTTTAAAATTGAGTTGTCTCTTGCAGAAAAGAAACCAATAGCAGGTAAGCAAAATTTTTCTTAATCCTATTGTGTGACATTTTGTACATGGGAAGTTTAAAATAGTGTCCTCTATTAGCACAACTGCTTTTATACTAGTGTGTTAGGACCATAGTATTTGTGAATGTTCATGTTTTTATGGGAGGGAAATAAAGTGATGACGTAGGGTTTTTTTCCTTAAACCCTACTTTATCTTCTGTAATCGAGACACTATAAAATTACTATACTGACTTCTTTTGACTTATGTTCTTTTTCTTTCTGCACAAGCACTCCTATTTGGACAGGGAAACCTCCCTCCTTCTGAGAAACATTGCAGGAAAGCCTTCTCATTTGCTGACCAAGGTGATGCTTCTTCTTTCCACCTGTATGTGACTACTGTTTCTATGTAGAAAGAATGCTTTTGGTGTGTGCTATGCTCCGTCCACCCCTGCCCTTTCTAGGAACTTGTGCGTTGACTTACATAATTTTCCTGATGCTTTTAAAGGCTGAATTTTATTATTTGTTTCTACAAATTTATCAAGTTCTTGGCAAATACTTAATAGCCATGTCAGCAGGTAAAACACCATAGCTGAAAAGGAGAGGTACTGAGCTAGAAGTCCTCTTGTTGCTATTCCTATTCACTAGCTTAAAAAAAAAAAAACCACCAAAAAATCAGAACTGGAAAATATGTGAAAGTACTCAGTACTGTTAAAAGACAGTAGTATCCTTAAAATAAGTTCACTTGCTGTATTGACGATAAGCTGTAGTAAGTAATGGCATTTTTTTTAACATTTTGAATGCTGTCTTGATATAATGTGGGCAGACTATCCTAGTACAAGAGTGGTCTAATGAGCCAGGTATGTACAAATCCTGTTTATAAATTGATTTTCTTTACAGGAAAATGGTTGGTGACATCCTAAGAGACTGCCATTTGTCGTTCAGTTTAAGAATTAGATTTTCTATACATATTACCTTTTGAAACTTGGGCAGGACAGATAGAGCAAGCTATATATCTCCTTGATGAACAAACAAGCTTGGGTGAAAAACATACAGCTTCATGTTGTTGAGAAAACTTTGAATGTTCAGTAGCTGAGGTGTCAGATATGTCTGATGCTGCTACCTACTGCAAGCCACTCCTTGGGTTATTTTTCTAAAATAAATGCTCTAGAGGAAAAAGCTTAGGCAAGCCTGAAATGACAAAATGTGCCTTGGCAACTTCAAAACAATAATGATAATGTTTGCTGGGCATAAGTAGTCTTTATTTTCGAATAAAAGTTTAGAACTAGTTTACTGCTTTTTCTTAAATACCTTAACATTTCTTTCAAAATGCTCAGCATGCCTCTTGACAACAAATTTTCAGACTGTCTTCTAGAGGAGTATAAACAGCCAAAACCAAGTAATTTTATTCTCTTGTGACTGTTTTGCTTAAAATTAAATCCATACCTCTTTCCTTTCACCCCGTCAGCTCCTTGCTCCCACGCCTCCAACAAAGCAAACGGCCAGTGAACCAGCAAACCTTGCTTGATTGCAAATAGATTAACAATGGCTGTGGCACAAACAGAAACCATAACTTTCTCTTTCATCTCCATGTGTTTTCATATCCTCCCTTCTGGTTATTTATGTACAGGATGAGTGTTGATTACCATATGGAACTTCAATTTAAAAAATGCACGAAATATTAAGTCCATTGCGTCATATGACCGTGGAGTGCCTCATATCAGTGATTCTAATGGACTGCTGCAGTTTAAATGTTTGTATTTATAAATCTTTGTCTTGTCTTATTAGACTTTGCAGCCCTCTGAGTCAGCTGCTTTTGGTGAGCTTGCTAATGCTCTGGGGATGATGTTTGTTGTTAGCTCAGTTTAGGACTGTCTCTACATCTGGGCCCTCTATTTCTGATTACTGAGCACACAGTCCTGGTGTGGATACTTACTGGTTTTCTTCTAACCTCCTGCAAAGAGAAATATCTTTAAAATGATGAAATGGAAGTCCAATTTGCCGCTTAGATCTTTTCAGCTTGCTGTAACATGAGATAAGCTCCAGTGCGAGGGAAGCAGTCCCAAGAAATGGGGCTTTTCCTTGCAGTTGTATAACAAGGTGTTAGATCAGTTAACTGTAGGATCATGTCGCAGCTCTAAGCTGGTGTCTCTGTGTGTCAACTACGTCTTATTGTCTTACTGTTTCTTGTCTTTTTCCCCTCTTTGATCTGTCTACCTCTTATATTGAGACTAGAGACAATTTGGGGTAATACCATTTTTGTCCTCTGGTAGTATAACTAATTGTAAAAATTTTAGTCATGGACTAAATTCCTTGCACAAACACGGTTCCTGTTGCAGCATAGGGCAGATCTCCGCACAGAAAATGGACTATTTGTTACGATGGTATCTTAATTTAAAAATTTAATTCCATGTGCTATTGCTCACACAGCATTCAAACCCTTTTTTTTTTTTTTTTTTTGGAAAACAAAGAAGTAGCATATCAGCAAAACAATCTATTAAATATTGAAAATAAAGCAATGTATCATGTATCTTTAATGTCAAATCTGCAAGCTTGTTTCCTATAGGCTTGGAATTACGCCATCAAATGAATACTGAAAACTAAGCTTGTGGCTGAGAAATGTAGAGCATATGCATACAATTTTGAGAGAGCATTCAGGGCTCAAATAGATCCCATTTGAGGACAAGAAAATAGGAAATAGAAGTGTAAAATGCTAGATTTTGAAGTTACCATTTCTTTTACCATTCTGGTGCACGTGAAGCTGAAACTACATTCAGGAAGCCAGATGGTGGTGATTTAATGATGTAATACTTCAGCTATCTATGTCAGCATCTGGAGAAAAGGAATCATGTTATGCCTCCTTTTCCCAAATATCTAGTACTTCATTCGTGTTTTCTTGTTGACCTGAAAGGCAAATACTGTTCTTATGAATGTCGATTACCCTGGTTTATAGACTTTGGTTACTACACACTGTAATCCCTTCTGACCTTTGAATAAATCAGTTGTGAAGTTGGCTTTCATGTGTCTTAGGTCGATCAGATTCAGATGTGCTCATTCTTGGATGAAGCATCTGTTTGAAATTTTTTTTTTTAATGCAGTTTAAAAATTCAGTAATTGATTTCTTATCTGCAAAGGATGTAAGCACAATCTGAAAACTCCAGCCTCCTACAGCCAGTTTTTGAGGAAGTTGTGAAGGCCACACCTGGAAACCACAAAAAGAATGTAGATGGTTAGTAGCAAAGTTTGTGCAGTGGTGAAAATTATGGAATAAAAGTTTTTTATCATAGTACAAGCTACTTTGTACTAATCTGCTGTGATTATTGTGATGTTCCTGTGTAGCTTTAATGTCTTAAAATAAATTCTAATAAGCTCTTGCGGATACATTGTTAGGCAAACAGCCTGTGTTCACAAGTCTGTGTTTCTGCCCTGTACTGCATATCAGTCAAGCTTTTCGTCCAGCTAAAACTCCTTACCAGTCAATCCTAGTGCCTCATCTGCTATACTGTGGTCTTCTTTCCAATCTCAAACTTACAATGGTTTTTCTAAGGCCTGTTCTCCCTCCTGGCTTTTTTTCCTCATTTTTTTTCTCTTCATATTTTCATTGTCCCAGATCTAGTACCTTTTCTCCTATAACTACTTGTCTTAGGTAGCCCCAGGGAGAAGTCTGGCCTAGAGCTGTTAGAAGACAGGTTCTATTCAGCGGCAAGTAGGAAGATAACCTAGTGCAGACAGATGCTTCAAGTGATAAAGAGCCAGTGAAATTAATTGCAAATGTGTGTTGTTTTTTTCCTTCATGGCTACTAGCCAAATCTAGTTTGGTAGTCTTTCAGGGGAACAGTCTACTTGAAGGACATTAACCAGTGGTGCACCACAGAGGTCAATACTGGGTCCAGTACTTTTCAACATAGAACCATGGAATGGTTTGGGCTGGAAGGGACCTTAAAGATCACTTAGTTCCCACCCCCGACACCTTCCACTAGCCCAGGTTGCTCACAGCCCTGTCCAACCTGGCCTTGAACCCTGCCAGGGAGGGGGCAGCCACAGCTGCTCTGGGCAGCCTGTGCCAGGGCCTCACCACCCTCACAGGGAAGAATTTCTTCTTTATATCAAATCTAAATCTACCCTCTTTCAGTTTAAAACTGTTACTGTTTGTCCTATCCCTACACCCCCTGATGCAGAGTCCCTCCCCATCTCTCCTGTAGCCCCTTTCAGTACTGGAAGGCCACTATAAGGTCTCCCTGGAGCCTTCTCTTCTCTGGGCTGAACACCCCCAACTCTCTCAGCCTGTCCTCACAGGGGAGGTGCTCCAGCCCCTGATCATCTTTGTGGCCTCCTCTGGGCCCGCTGAAGCAGATCCATGTCCTTTTTGTGTGGGGGCCCCAGAGCTGGACACAGCACTGCAGGTGGGGGTCTTACGAGAGCAGAGCAGAGGGGGAGAATCCCCTCCCTCGCCCTGCTGGCCACACTGCTCTTGATGCAGCCCAGGACAGGGTTGGCTTTCTGGGCTGTGAGCGCACATTGCTGGCTCACAGTCAGTTTTACACCCACTACTACTCTCAAGTCCTCCTCCTCAGGGCTGCTCTCAATCCATTCTCTGCCCACCCTGTATCTGTGCTTGGGATTTCCCCGACCCATGTGCATGACCTTGCCCTTGGCCTTGTATAACTCCATGAGGTTTGCACAGTCCCACCTCTCCAGCCTGTCCAGGTCCCTCTGGCTGGCACATCCCTTCCCTTCAGTGTGTCGACCGTACCACACAGCTTGGTGTTGTCAGCAAACTTGCTGATTTAACTCAATCCCACTGTCCATGTCACCAACAAAGGTGTTAAACTGCACCAGTCCCAACACTGACCCCCGAGGAACGTCACTGTTCACTGCTCTCTACTTACACATTGAGCTGTTGACCACAACTCTTTGAGTGTGACCATACAGCCAATTCCTTATCCACCAAGTGGTCCATCCATCAAATCCATGTCTCTTCCATTTAGATCTTCATTACTGGTCTGGATGATGGGGTAGAGTGTTCCCTCAGCAAGTTTGTTGGTGACATTAAACAGAGGAGTGGCTGTGATGCCAGAGGGTTGTGCTCTCCTCCAGAGGGACCTCCACAGGCTGGAGAAATGGGCTGACGGGAAGTGTGAAGTTCTGTGCCTGGGGAGGAGCAACTCTGTGTATGAGTCCATTCTGGGGACCACCCAGGTAGAGAGCAGCTTGGCAGAAAAGGCCTGGGATCTTGGTGAACATCAAGTTGACCATGAACCGGCAGTGTGCCCTTGTGGCAAAGGCTAATGGAATCTTGGGCTGTACTGGGAGGAGTATTGCCAGCAGGTGGGTGGAGGTGATCCTTCCCCTCTACTCAAGCACTG